CCCATGCTTTTGAAGTGTCATTAATATTTATGACAGCATTTGTCCAATTAGGTGATAATTTGCTTGCTAATGCATCAACTTTTTTTGTTAATAATTCATCACATTCTTCTGGTGTACGGTATTCATCCGTAATTGTATAAGTTGGAAATAATCCGGCAATATCACGTGGTTCAATTTCATCATGAACGGAAAATAATCCACGTTCTATTGCTAATAGGCATATTTCAGTATAAAAATCTTCAAAATGAATCCACGCTTCTTTTATACCGTCTGTATTTGATATATGATATTTCCAACCAGCAGCAAATTGATTTGCAAAATTTTCAAATTTATCCAGTAATGTATTCCGGCAATTTTCAAGATTTAATTCACTTGAATTATATTTTCCCCATTTAATAATGCTATTATTATTATTATTATTATTATTATGATTATGATTATGATTATTATCATTATTATCAGAATCAATTTCAGATATTTTAGATTTGTTTCCAATTCGTTTCGCCGAAGTCATTGTTGTTGTAAAAATAATATGGCCGACGTTGTCGCCTTCTTTTCTTTCAAAACAATAATTTTGTAGCAGTGATAAAATTTAGCATAAAATTCGTAACGAATAATGAAAAAAAAATCCTAAAAGGTAGTAAAAATAATGAATATGACAGAAGAAATAATATAGTTGAAATATGAATAGATATTTAGTGATGCTTTTTCAGTTATTACGTCTATTATTACCAATATTATTAATGGAAATAATGCAAAAAATGGAAAAAAAAACGAAAGCACTGCAAAGATTAAAAGAAGTGTAATATATAAAAATGATTGCATTTCATTTTTTTCGCTTCTTTCATTTGTAATATAAGAATCATAATCAGCAGATTATTTGAATAATGATAATGATAATTACAATAATAGCAGTAATAACAATTATACTCAGCAATAATTAGAAATAGCAATAATAATGATAATAATAATAATAATTAATAATGGTGAACAGTAAGAAATAATTAGTAATAATAACGATTAATAACAATAAATGGTAACATTTAAATGAAAGAAAATAATTCTTGAATGTAAAGGAATTAAATATCATACTTGAGTACCTGTTAATCAGCCGCTATTTTGTGAATGAAATATTTTCCTCTAACAAATTGAGGCTATACGTTGACTTGACCCATTTATAAATAGCCATAAATTGAACTATCCAAAAAAGATTTACTTAATAAATATTTTGAGTTAAAATGATAATGATAAATTATGAGCAAATATTACATTTTGGATGATCGTAATCGATGTGTAATTCCATCTTACAACTAAAAACATATCTTCATTAATTAGATATTTTTCTATATTATAAATGATACTGTTAATAATGATAACGACAACAAATGATAGTGGTAATAATGATAACGATAATAAAAAATAGTATTAATCACGATCATGTGGAATAGAATATCAGTAAATATTCGATTAGCAAAAAAAAGAGGAGAAGGGAAAAAAAGAGGCAGAGAGAAAATGTTGAATGGTAGAGAAAAAAGAGAAAAAGCTTAATTAATTGAAAAAATGAAAATTTTAATTTCAGGAAGGAAAAAAAATTCTTTTCGTCAAAAGTGAACAATTATTGAGGTATCTTTTTTTTTCTTTCTCAGCTAAAAAATGGAAAAAAAAAATGAATAAAAAAGATTTTTCGAAAGCATACACAACAATTAATATATTTCACAAATATTTCGTTCTTTCTTTCTTTTCTCTCTTTTCTCTTTCCCAAATATTTTCAGCTTTTTTTCGCTCCTTTTTCACTACCGCTAGCAAAGTTTGATGATCGATCAGTAAACATTCACTACCTTAGAGCTGTAACAGTTATAAAAAGCTTTTATGCTTTACAACTAAATTAGAAAAATCAAAATGGAAAGCGAAGAGTGAAAAAATAGATAAGTTTGTAAATATGCACATATTGGTTGATTTTATTTATTCTGTAAGGATTAAATAATTTTGAAGGAAAAAAAAATGGAATTTTATATAAAATGGAATTACCGAGAATTATCGGAATATTTTTATAGAGGAAGCGAATATTTAGAATTATTAGAATATTTTAAAAAGGAAATGAAAATTTTCAGAGAATGAAAGCATAAATTACTTATTGAATTTTTTTAAAAGTAGAAGAATAGAAAGAATTCGGCGAAAGATTGCATGGATCATTTTGCAGCTTATAAGGGAAAGATGAATAAGAAAAACTTTTCCTTCAAAGAATTTAAATTTTAACTTAAATTTTTTGAAAAAACCTTTCTCTATGTTAATAGCACTAATCTGATCACAACATTTCTTATTCAATTTGTCCATCTATTTGTGTTTTTACTTTCAATAGCTTTTTCAATTTTTTTTCTTTTCTAATCGGAAATTTCTAAAAAGGAAATCAGTCATTGCCATATTATTATTACTATTTATTATGATAATTTATTGTTCTTATAGCTATTATTACTACCAACTATAATAACTGTTATTGTCGTTATTATCATTAGCAATTATCTCATTATCAGTTATTATCACAATTATTACTAATCGTCATCATCATTATTGTTACCAACTAATTACCATTATTATTATTTAGTTTTATATCATCACTTTCCCTTAATCTTCCAATTATATTTTTAGATTAATAATCTATCATTTTATTATCACTTTTCTTAATCTTCCAATCAATATTTTTAGGTTAGTAACCAACCGAAAAGCAATTGTATCTTCTAATTGACCCAAATGTCGCGGTATCATTTTGGCTTACATACAGCTTCCCGAGACTATGCTCCGACGCATTTTATCATAAATTAAAGTAAGTTATTTAACATTATTTATAAACGTCGTACTAAAAAAAAGAAAAAAAAGAAAAAAGGTTGTAATTTTTGGAAGGAATGATGAAAGTAATCAAAGCTTTTAGCAACGAAAACGCATAATTGCTAGCATTTTTCTTGTGTTTGAGGGAGAAAGAAAAAAAAAGTTAACGGATGAATTTAAGCTTCCTCAAGAATTTGAATTTCCTACAAATCAAGAATGGAAAATTTCCCATCTGCCTGTTTAATTTTATATCTGTCTTAAATGTCAGTCATATGGATTGGAAAATAAGGAAACATTTACCGGAAAAAAGGAAAATTATCGGAAGAAATTCAGACTAACATCATTTAACAATAGCATTATTGATCCGCATCACTAAAAGCAACAATCAAATTATATCGTTTGCCCTTTTCCGATATTCTCATTTTCCAGATATAACCATTGAATCCTTCTTATAATATTTTTTCCTAATTAATCTTACTTAATATCATTTCATGCTGATATTTTCTTTCTTTGTTTTTTTTCCTCACTTTTTCATTTTTGTTGCGATGATAATCGGCAAAAAAATTTTACCGATATGTCAACGTT